TTATATATCACTCTTTCTTTAGCAGGAAAAGCCTTGAAAATTATCCTTCTGACTTGATTTTACAAACCTCTAATGTATTTAAAGATTGTTAAACTCGAAATCCAGCCATGCTCAAAAAATAGTTTAATTTTCATCTTATTAAACCAATACTTAATGTTTTACTTTTAAAGAATGTGAAAAGATTTAGAAATACACAAAAGATGAGGATAAAGAATAATATTTGAGTATTTATATAATAGGGCAGTATTCACAAATCCAGTGTTAGACACACACATGCACACGCACACACACACACATTGGCCAATACATCGTGTTTTATCAAGGGAGGTTTCAGTCAAAAGCAGCTGTGACCAAATCTTCTGGAAGTCAGAAACCACTAATTTAAATTTTTCATTTGTTTTTTGGAACAATTATGCCACCCACAAAAGGGTAACTTTGCAAGTCGTCATTATCTCATGAATTTGGGAACTTATCCCTTAAATAAACCTGTCTCATTTCCATATAATTACAGCAACTAAGAAGGTCCTTAAAAAAAAAAAAGGAAAATTTTTAGCTTAGCTTTACATTTTAACGGTGTGATAAGGAATCAGTGTTACTGCCATATCGATCAAATTTGGAATTTGGTTCCTTAAAATAAGTTCATATGAATTTAAAAGAGAAGTGTCTTGAGGGAGAAATCTTTATGGTTTTGGAAGTTCTCTTAGATTTCAGATTCCTGCGTATGATCTTTTCCCGCAGTATTCACCTGTCACCTTCTCCAACCCTGTTACATAGTGATTTATTGCATGTCGTTTAGATTCGTTTGTAATAAAACATAATGGTAATGACTTCAAATTTTAAAAGGCGGGGGTGGGGGTGCTAAACTAACAAGTTTCTTCCTGAATTATTCTCTCCCCCTGTCAGTCTTAGGAAGACAGAAACACCTCCAGTGTTTAGCAGACTCTACTGGACCTAACTCCCCCTAACAGATCACTCAGTACAAACTAATTAGGATGCATTAACTGTTTCCTCTGAAAACACCAAAAAAGAGGAATGCTTTTTCTGCTCGTTTCCTTCCTCATAACCTTGCCGCTTAAGTGTTCTTCTAACATACTGCTTTAGAGGTGAAACTTGATGATCCAGCCACCAGCGAAAGTGTAAATGCTAACTTAAGAATGTTCTAAACATCTCAGGGGAAAAATAAAAGTCTCTCTTATGACAATGTACTAACATAGCTATTAAAGACAAGGGAATAGGTTTCTGGTCCAGAATTGTCTTACCAGATTTTTCCTAGCTGTTGTATTAAAAGCTTCCTCAATAAGTATTTCTTGTTATGATAGGCACACCATTAAATATTTTTCCTATTTTTTTTTTTAGGCAGTTTCAGGAAGACAGCTGATCCACAATTAATACCAAGCTGAACTTGAATGGCTCATTCACACTTTCTAAATTTTGCTCACACTTTTCTCCAGGTTTAATGAATATGCCATTAATAGTAGCATTTAGAGGAAGCTCTAATATTTGTCTCAGTTCTCATTTGTTTCAGATGTATCCTTCCTTTTTTCATTTCTTTCGTCATTTTTCTCTTCATGTGGTTGACTCGGGGACTGATAACATCCTGATTTTCAGTCACATAGAATTTCCTCAGTGCAATCAGCCTCCCATTTTCTCTCCTGATGGCAGAGGATTGCGACATGGCACTTCTCTGGCCAACCATGGACAGTTTGTGAGGTTGACATGACCACTGGCAACGACTCACCACTCCAGCAATGGAGAAATGTGTTGGGCCAGATGGAAAGGGGGAGATGATTCAGACATACGGTGCTTAGAGCTGGAGACAGTACACAGTTGCAACGTTCTGCCAGGCTCTGAGAAATAACCGGGATGCACTCAAGCAGAGAACCTGCCCTTCATACCAGCACACTCCTCTTAACCAAGCTAACCCAGCGGCTCCGGTCTGTCGTACTGACAACCACCCATGACCTCTCTTTCTTAATCTGAGGAGAACTCTCCCAACTGCCTTGCATTTATTTCTGGATAAATTTTTAATGGCTATTCATCCTTGGCACATGTAATTTTTAACTGTGTAAAATATTTATGGGGGTGGAAAGGGTAACTTCAAAAGCATTTATTACTTTCCCTTACATTTACAGTAAATCCCAATCAGGTTGCTGACTGGGATTTTCCTCGCTTCTTTCTCTTGTGTGAACCTCTTTTTAAACTCTAAGTAATGAATGCAAGATCAATAGAATAAGTAACAAAAGTATCCAGGGTGACTGAACAGTAAACTCTTAAATCACTGCGCAGTAAGTGCAAATGAACAATTATTAAAAACACTGCACTAAAATTTCAGTAGGAGATAAGAGTAAGGCTTAAACCTTTAAAAGGTTCCATTAGTCATGTAAGCCTGAGACAGCACACTCAAAACATGAGCTATTCTTGAGAACTGGAAAGATAACATATTCCACCAAGTTGCACACACACAACTGACTCCAAGTGAGAAAGGAGAGGGTCCAACTGTCCAGTCTCTAAGGATAAGGAGGTGCAGAGAGGCGAAGGCAGCCTGCTCAGGCAATGATTCTTCGGTTATATTTGAAGGGGGAGGTGGGATTTACAATGATGACTAATTAGATTATTTATAAGGGAAGTAAATATTCTGCTTGCATATCAATTCATCCCATGTTACAGCATCATCACGCTCTTCATCACTCCGTGCCTGGGACACAAATAAAAGAATTCTGACACAAATTACCAGAAAAGCCCAAGAATGCAGCCCCACTTTCCCTTTGTCCCTGTTCTCCCCGACTTGATAAATCATTTGCAGTTAAAAAATGAAGAGAAAGTAATGGGCAACCAAACTGCAAAGTAAAAACACGGTTTAGAAAAATCACCTGAAATAGCTAAAATTTTGGATACACACACATAAATATACACACATAAATACATATAGATACGCACATACTAATCTTGTCTTAGGGATTTGCAAACATCAGAATGCTATTAAATCTTAACATGCCTGGGATATATTGCTCAATTCTTGCTTTCGTTCTTATACCACGCATTTTATTATAGACAGGTGGGCTCTCAGAGTTCTGGATGCCAAATAGCTTGAGCAAGGGACTGCATAGAATAACCTGAAAGAAATGGAATTCCTGAATACATATGATTTCCTCCGAGAATAGAAAAACAAATCTCATGCCAGAATTATGGTGAGACTGAACCATGCTCATGACACAGAGGGCAACTTTAGCCTTGCCTTTAAAAGAGTATAGTTTCATCTTAAGCAGGACATCACATTTCAATTTGTACTATTAAAAACTTGCATTGCACAGTGAAACAAACTGCCCTGTGAATCACTCTGCTTTACAAGGCAGCTAGACTAACATACAGCTAATGACACGAGCTAGCCCAGTGTACATTTCTCCAATAGCGACATGATAATCCAGAACAGCGTGGATGGCCTCTGACTAGTACTTTTAGACTATACCACCACTCTGGTTAACACTACTTCTTCATCGCCATCACATAAGGAATTGTTGCAAGAGGCTGAAAACTTAAAGTAAAATTATAATCTACTTTCCATTCCTCAAATATCATTACAGATGCTAAAATTTTATTTTGTCCAAAAAACATTATCTTTACAAGCTTTTCCATTTTTCAAAAATATATTCACGGTAAATGATAAACATTTGCTATTTTATTAATTGCCAATAAACAAGCTTAGAACCTCTATCATTACCCCCTGGAAAGAGATGTTGTTTAACTCTGGATTCTGCTTAAATTTGGCTCTGAAATAAGGAGTATTTCTTCCCAATCATTTTTAGTTATTTTAAGACTTATTTTATAATATGACACAATTATAGGGAAATTAAAACTGCTTGCAAGATAACTAAAGGCGTTCAGCTTTTGCAACTTGTGTTGCTTCCATACTTTTGCAAATGTTTCAAAGGCTCAAGAAAAGAAACAAAGCAAATGGTACACACAGAAATAAATACCCAAGAAACTAATATTGCCCCAATGCGTTTATCTAAATATCTCTTTAATCTGAAATATGACTCTAATTTCATATGTAAAGCAAACCAAGAAATCACTCAGAACATTCGCCCCTTGGAATCCTTCCCTAGCCCCTTTCCAGTTGCTGTTACAAACCTTTTAGTATCAGAAAGGTGCCCTTAGAAGATGACGTGGGATGGAACTTACAGAAGGAAAGCATAACTTCAAGGAGGAGGAAAGGATATTCAGTCCTTGGCTTCTTATTTAGTGAAGGGATTTTGCCTTCTCTCCTAGCAGTAAGTTGCAGAGTACAGTGCAAATGTACAGCTCCCCGCGGGTTTACAGTGCTACACTGAGAGCCCAGATCTAAGCCTGAACACGTTTTCTGGAAATGCAAGCAGCTCAGCTCAAAACCTAAGGGAGGTTTCCACCGTGGCACACAACTATATTGCACAAATATTTAACAGCTCCGAGACCTCTAATGGTTTAAAGTAATATGCATTTTGTGCTAGGCTGCTCTAGCTAGACAGAAAACTGGGATGGTATGGAGGAGTGCTTTCAGTTGCTCAACCCTGCACACCAAAGAACGTTTTCCTTTTCTGGCTCAGAATTAGGGAAACACCAAAATACTTAATGAAACACTGATATTGACTAAGCCTTCACAGACTCAGTAGTATAGGAACTTTGTTTTACATTTCATTAAGTTAGCCCATGACTTCCCACGCGGCACCATTTCTCCTTCACCTAGCTAAAAAAAGCCAACTTCATGCAGACACATCAAGGGAAAGTTTATCCACCCCCACCCCTGTTTCTTTTCTTTTCCAACTTAAACTCGTCCACGACTAATAAACAGCCCCGATTGTAGCACAAAGGAAGCTGAGAGGGTGCACCAGCTTGGTCCTCCAGTTGCCAACTGGAGATAGGTTTAATATAATAAATTCTCGCCGTTTAAAATTTTTCTAAAGGTTTGTCTGCACTGATGAAGAGCTGTGCACACCCAAAATTACATCATAAGAGTTAACACTCACCAAAATACATTATGTTTCTCATTAATTAGGCAGCTGGAACCCCACCGCGGCGTCTTCAGCATCAGCTCGCACCCAAGGTTGACACGCAAAGCAGAGCCGTTTCATGCTACATTCGGCGGAAACGTCCCCGGCGTGGAGAGCAGCGAGCGCCGAGCGTGCGTCCTCGGTGAGCTGAGCGCCTTGCAGGCTGCCTTTCCCGGGCTACGATCCCCGGCAGCTGGAGCGTGCGCTCGGGCTGCCTGCTGCACTGCCCATCCTTACTGTAATCCGACTCCTCCTTGCGATGTCCTTGCCGCGCCTGTGACATCAGGACTGAGAGTACTACAAACAGACATCCCCACCCCACCCTACCCCACCCCACCCCCGGTTAGCAGCGGTTCCATGAGGTGCTCGGATTGCCTGTCTGGACCAACCATGGCTCTCGGGAAGCTTTGACGAGCCCAGAGACCCGGAGGGGGCGGAGTGAGGGGCGCGGGAGGCTGTCTTAAAGAGAGAAGGGTCTCTGGAACCACATAGGAGCACACGGGGGATATTCACCAGCGTGAGGGAGGGGACATGGTTAAGGCGAAGTCTGCCGTTAACGTGTAATTAGACACACTTTTATCCCGCCTCTCCTGTGAATGCCATCATCCTCGCCAAAATTTAGCCTCCCCTACCAAGTTAAAAAGGCAGTGTGGTAGGAGAAATGGTGCCTTGTGTGCCTGCGTTCTCTTTGAGGCTTGAGGGTTTCTTATTGTTTGTGATGTTTATACCCAAGAGGAATAAAAGACTCAAGGGACCATTGCTAGAATAATAGAGGTTTTCACTTAGAAGTGATCATATCATAGAAAGCCAGTAGTTAGTTGGTAAAGAGTTATTTTTATTTCTTGAGTATTTTCAGAGCTAGGTTGATTGAGAAATGTAAAGAAAAATAACTGGTAATAAAAGTCTCCTCCCTTTTTCACAGGATCACATTTGCTGGCTCCCTTAGTAGGTATAGAAAGGACATCGAGGCTGAAATGATCTTTGACCCCTGAAGGGGAGAGACATTTAGCCTGAAAGGCAACCAAAATTTTGTCATAATTGCAGTCTGGTCACAAGTATAATATAGACACACACGTACACTCCCATTAAATTTGCTATGAACAGTCAAGAAAGGCAAAGCTTAGCAAAGCCTCTGGCTCCTCCAATGGTCCAATGAATTGCACTCCTTATCTTACATGGAAAAGAATGTTTGAAAGAAATCGCAGAAAGCTGTGCTGATTAATACTTAAATGCTCAGCATGGAAAACAAACCCACAGAACAAGTTCATTTTCCTAAGGACTCCTCACTTTGTGACCCAACTTACCTACCAGACCATTTAAACTTAAAATTTCTACAAAATGTTATGCAATTAAGAACTGAAGATGAAGAGCTATAGCCTATGAAAGGAAGTAATTGTTATATATTTTAATACGGGTGTTTACAAGCCATGTTAGCAAATATTTCTACATTTTGATATTAAAATATTCAAAGGTCTTACCTTGCACAATTCTGTATCTGTCGGTGGGTTTAATGAGTATTATTGGAACTAGGGGCTGAGGCTCATAATAACAGCTTGCTGTGCAATCTTGCAAAAAAGCTTAGCACCCTATTTCCATTCTGTGAAAGGAACACTGTGACCAATATCCTCCCTTACAATAAATTATAAAGAATTTGGTGAATGTGAAAAGGTAATCATATATAAATCAGAAACATTACAGTGAGTCTTAGGATAAATCTAGTGATGTTCTTTCAGGAATATACTCCATGTAAAGCAATTTGGAAGAAGAAAGTGTAAACAGTAAAGAATATTTACTTTTTTTAACTTTTTTTAAAATTAAAAATAAAAAGAATGTCACAGGAAAATACTGAAGAAAACACATGTTTTTTCCTTTTGGACAGATGGAAATCATCCAAGAGCACAATTAATGGGCTCTTCCCACAGGCAGAAGAACCATCTGTGGTAGAACTTAACTCGGGAAACTCATCAGCTGTCTTGACCTCCTACATGGGCTAGGGGGCACTGTAGTTTAATGTTAGAGTTTTTGGTCCTTTTGAGTTCCTGTAGTTAGGAGATGCAAGCACTGAGAGTGCAATTTAAAACAGGAGATTTGAGACACTAAAGGACTGTCTTAATAATTAATAACACTCTTGCATTTGCATGGCATTTTGCATTTACAATGTACTTTTACTTATGTCATCTTACTAACAAACTGAGATCTAGACATGTGGTTATTGTCAGTGTTACACATGGAAAACCTGAGAGTCACAGACATTAGCAACTTTTTCATTGATGTGGTCAGTAAAGCACAGCGGTCTTACTATTTGTATGTTGTTGGAGTCCCCAGCACATTTTTTTGAAAGAAATAAATTATAAATTTCCCATTCATAATGGTTCAAGTAAAGATCTTCCCCAATTAAATTATGTCACTGCTTGTTCCACAAGAAAAATATATCTATATGGTAACGAATATAAAGGCAGACAGTATCTAGTAACAGAACATTCCAACCTCTGCCTGGTTTATAGAGGATTATGCCTGAAAGACTGGCATGTAGCCTCTGAAAGAGGGTGGCATCCAAGAGACAACCAAGTGTCACATCCCTAGAATATTGAACCAAATGAAGGAAAGCGTTCTCTTTATTTAAAGGTGTGTCCCCACAACCCCCGCAATTAAACGTTATCTGGAATGCTGAGGCTTCAGATACAAACATTGCTTATCTCTGGTTGGAAAATAAATGATTTCAATTGTACACATTTTATTATTGTACTTAAATTTATTTGTATTATTATATTTACAGAAATAAAAATGCAACTATTTTTATTTTGAAACAGAATAGTATCCAAATGATGGCACAGCTAGATATGAAGTTGTGGATATGCCAGCTGTACCTGAGAGATGGTCCCATATGTCAACTCAAGGACAAGACCTAGTGTTTCCAGGGAAGGACCTAGTTTACACTCCTGCCCTTTATTTGTCCTTAAGTAGGTTTTAAAAGCTAGAAGATTCTGAGAGGGAATCAGGTAATTGCTTACCCGATAGAAATACACCTTTCACTATTGATAGAAAAGATGCCCAAAACCAGTTACATACTTGGGGTTAAAACTTCAATAAATGTAAAATAAAAATTCTAAGTGATAAAAAACTATGATAAGGTAAGAATTTTCTCTCTGCTCAAATATCTAGATAGCTATTTACCTGGATCACTCACCTCCTTCAAATCTTGCTCAAAGATTTGTCTGGCTCTCTCTTTTCGCTTTCACAATTTCAGACTGCCCTGGACCCTTCCTTGGCATTTCCTATCCTCCTTCACCCCTTATTATTCTCCATAGCAGTTACTATTATCTGACACACCACTGTAGACATCTGTTTATTTTGTTCTCTCTTCATTGAGGGCAGGGATTTCTGTTTGTCATTCACCGTTGTATCCACAGTCCTTACAAAGGTATCTGGAACTTGCTGCTACCCAATAAATACTTTTGAAAGAATGAATGAACATACTAAGTACAACTGTATTGTATGTAAAACATTGTACTTTTCTATGTGCCTGCAGTCAATTCTTTGAGGTTGATGGTGTCTTATGCAAAGTGTTTCCACGGATTGAATTCGTCCATGCTTAGCAGCAACTGTTCGTAAATTCCATACAATACAGAGGCCAGGTGGGACTGCAGGCCACAGTTCATGAGCTTGCTTGCCCTTTCAAGTTCTCATAGCTGTATGCAGCAGTAATTTAGCATTGAGTTAGCACTGCCCAGTTGTGTCTTACATTACCTACCCCTGAGCCTCAGTTTAGACCACTTTTATCTCTTACCTGTATTGCAGAAATAAAATTTTATCCAATGTTCCTGACTCCAAGCTTGCATTCTCCATTATTATCTTTTCAAAACAGAGATAATCAAATCACTCCCTTACTTAGTACTCTTCACTGTCTATTTTACCTACTGGGGTATTTGAGGCCTTTCACAATCAAGTCCTTGATTATTCCTTCATTTGTGAATTCTTTATCCTTCACACTCTTTACTCCAATCTTACCGCATGACTATAGTTCCCCTAAAGACTATATTCCCTCTTACCTGCTCTCTTTATCTGGACAGTTTATTCATCCTTGGGTCTCTGTTCCAATATTATGTCTCTGAGGCCACTTTTTCAATCTCAAGACTGAGTGAGGTGATGCTCCTATTTCTTTTCCTATAGGATACAACACTAATTCTGATACTAGCACTTAAACATAGTGTAGGAATTTCCCTGTACTTGTCTCCCAAATGAAAAAGGATGCTCTTTTATCTTCATGACCTACTATGAATCGTTAGTTAATAAATGAATTCATTATTTACCTATTCATTCATTCGTTCATTCATTCATTCAATATTTATTGAATAAATTCAATATCTTTTGAATGCCTACTTTGTGCTATGAATTATTCTAGATCCTGAGTCTGGTTAAAGAGCACTGCAGAAAGTGCAGAGGGCAATGAGAAGACATGCCTGAGGGTTACTTAGAAGAGCAACAAGGCCAATGTACTAGAACAGAGTAGGTACTGAAGAGTATACTAGGAGTGAAAGTCAAATGGATCACGTGGAGCCTAATTTAATAGGACTTTGAAGGTCATATAATAAGGGCTTTGACTTTTGTTCTGATTTATATAGAATGCCTTTGGAGTAACATGATTTAGCATATTTTAGTAGGTTCATTATGGCTAACGTATGGAGAATAGAGTCAAAGGAACAAGGAAAGAGGCAAAGTGACCATTTAGGAAGCCTTTTTAATAATCTAGAAAATAGTTGGTGGCATGGACCACAGTAGTTGGTGGCATGGACCACAGTAATTGGTGGCATGGACCACTGTAGAGGTGGTAAAAAGTGGTTGGAGTCTTATACATATGACAAAATGGTCAATAGGATTTCCTGATGGGTTGGATAAGTGATGGAAGAGAAATAAAGAGTAATGGATTATTTAAGATTGGAGACTGAGCAATTGAAAGGATGGAATTTCCATTAACTGGTATGGAGAAGACTATGAAAGAACATGCTTGGGTGGGGTTTGGGAGGTAGTCAATGTAGGACATATTTAGTTTAAAATTCCTATTATGTATTCAAGTGGAAATATTCCATAGCAGTTTGACTATATGGGTCTGGAGTTAGGGCTGAAGTTTAGGTTTCCTATATAAATTTTTAAGTCATCAATTTATAGGTAGTAATTAATCATGAGAGCAGAATGTATCTTCCAGGGACTATAGATGTAAATGGAGAAGAGAGTTAAGACTGAGCCCTGGGCCATTATAAGCAAGAAGACAAGTATGTGGTATTTGATGACTGAATATTTGTTGAAAGTGTAATAATTTGTTGAATGAAAATTTGTTGACATGCGAATGACATTTAATGAAAGGCTATTAATTTTAAGGCTGACTTTGCCACTTTCTGATATACCAACATC